TTCTCTCTTCTGGGTACCTACTCAGAAAATTTGAAAACATTTATTCATAAAAATATATGCACCCTGATATTCATCGCAGCATTATTCACAGTGGCCAGGACATGGAAGCAACTGAAGTGTCCTACGATAGATGACTGGATACAGAAGCTGTGGTACATATATACAATGGACTATTACTCAGGCATAAGAAGAGATGAAATACTGCCATTTGTGACAACAACATGGATGGACCTCGAGATAATCATGCTAAGTGAAATAAGCCAGATGGAAAAAGTTGAAAATCACATGATATCACTAATATGTGGGATATAAACCTAAAAGCAACAAATAAGCAGGACAAACAGAGACTCAGGGATATGGACATGGACTAGTGGTTACCAGAGGGTAGGGGGTAGGGGAGGAGGGACGAGGTAGAAGGGGTAAAGGGGGGTCAAAATAGGGGGTTAGGGGAGGATGAAGTGGGTAAAGGGGATCAAATATATGGTAGCTGAAGGAAACTGGACTCTGGGTAGTAATCACACAATAGAATATATAGAAGTCAAATTATAATGTACACCTGAAAATTATATAATTGTATTAAACAATGTTACCCCAATAAACTTAAAAAAAAATCAGTCTCGTTGATTTTAGCAACCACATGCACATAGTTTTGTTTCACAAAGACAAAATAAGTCACAGTTGTCCAAATATTTCATAGACACTTACTGTTGATAGCTCCAGCAGCATGCAGGCCAAGGTCAAAGAGATGTGAAGGGAGGAATTGTGCAGAATGAGCAAGAGGCTCAGACCCCACAGAAGGCTCCTGGGACGTGAGACTGGCACTGGGGCTCCCAAACGCAGTCTGGCATTCTTGGGTAAATTCACTAGTACTTGTAGAACTTAGGAGGTTGTTCAGAAATGAGAATTCCTTCTCAAAATCATCTTCCAATGAATCTACAGGTAAATCTTTTGCAACTGTTGAGTGAAAATAAAATGAATAGCTTTTTTCTTTTTGAGTAAATAAGAGTAGGATGTAGGGCTAATCAAATTTGTTTCATTGTTCTCACATTTTATTAACATAATTTTTAATAAGCAAACTGGAAGTTTATGTGAAAATTATTTCTAATTAGGTAGGCTATGGATCAAAATGACATTTCAATGAAGGTATAATAGTTATGAATATCCACATATAAATAATTAAACCAGCACCTACGTATGTCAGAAACTATAGGAGCTGCAAGGAGAAATACTAACAATAATTGAGGCTTTAATGTATCACTCTCGGTAAAAAAAAAAAAAAAAGGAGAAAAATAAAGCTATAAAAGATCTAAACAGCATAATAAGGTAGTTATTTTGAATATATACAAACCCTAACAGAATATATACTTTCTTCTTAAGCACGCATTAAAAATTCACAAATATTAATTACACTAAAGCACATGAAAATATCAGTTTCTCAAAGTAGAAATATTACAAATAACATACTCTGATTACAGTGCAATAAAATAAAATTATTAAAAAAATGAAACCAAAATAGTCACAGGGATGTGAAGTACAGCATAGGGAATGCAGTCAATAATATTATAACTATATATAGTGCCAGATAGGTACTAGACTAATCTGGGGGATCACTTTGTAAATTATATAAATATCTAATCACTAGGCTATACACCTGAAACTAATATAAAATAATATTGAAAAAATAATAGAAAAAAAACATCAAAAGTACCAGTATACACATAATAAAAGTCTCGAAAAAATGGAGGGGTTGGCTTTAAGAAATAATAGACAAAATGTACCAACTTTGTTGAAAACACAAATCTACTCATCCAATAAGCCTAACAAAACCAAGTAGAATCAATCTAAAGAGATCTTTATCTAGATACATCATAGACAAACCCTTGAAAGCCAATGATAAAGTGAAAATCCCCATATTCATGCACTAAAAGGATCAATATTATCCACATGGTAATTAACTCCAAATTCATGTATGAATTTAACATAATATCTATCAAAATCTCATGGGCTTTTATTTTGGGTAGAAATTGACAAGCTGATGGTAAAATTTATATGGAAATGCAAAGGGCTTAGAATAGCCAAAACAATTTTGAAAAAAGAACAGTTTTGTGGGAAAGCCACAGTAATCAAGATAGTATGGTACTGACCAAGACTAGGTATACAGATCAGTGGACCAGAATTTAGAATCCAGAAATACACCCCTACATTTTTTGGTCCTCTATTTGATTTCAATTAAAATGCCAAGAAAATTCAATGGAGAGAGAAGAGTCTTTTCAACAAATAGTGCTGGAACAACTGGGTATATATATGCAACAAACAAAAACAAAAAAAACCCTTAGATACTCCATGCCATACACAACAATTAACTCAAAATGATCATAGTCCTACATGCAAGAGCTAAAATGATAAACTTTCAAGAAGAAAACATAAAAAATATGTGTGACCTAGGGTTAGGCAGAGTTCTTACATATGACACCAAAAGAACAATCCATAGAAGAAAAAATGGTAAACTAGACTGCATAAAATTTTTAAACTTTAGTTTTTCTAGAGGCAAAATTAGGAAAAGACTAGGATAAAATATTTACAAGTCATATATCTGACAAAGTACTTATAATAAGAATATATAAACAAATCTTGCAACTTAATCATATTAAAAACTCAATTAAAAAATAGTCAATAAATTGGCCAAGAAAGAAGATATGTATGGCTAATAGGCATATGAAAAGATGCTCAACATTCTAAGTCACTGGAGAAATGCAAATTAAAACAACGAATTAAAAGTACTAGAATGTAAGACATATAATACTAAATGCTGGTGAAGACGTCGAGAAATTAGAACTCTCACTTTTTGCTAGTGGGAATGAAAATGGTACAACCATTTTGAAAAGCAGTTTGGAGAGTTCCTTAAAAAGTTACACTCAAATTTACCATATAACTTAGCAATGACACTCCTAAGAATCTAAGAAAAATGAAAACATATGTCCACAAAAGAAGTACTTGAATATTTACTTTTTTTTTAAGGCAAGGCAACCCTTGGTTGATCTCACAGATTGCAAGGACCTTGTCAGCTTACAATCCCTTATTATTATTATTTTTTATGCCTACATCATCTGGTCTTCCTAGGTGGTCTCCCATCCAAGTATTAACCAGGCTCGACCCTGCTTAGCTTCCTAGAACAGACGGGATCAGGCTTGTTCAGGGTGGCATGGCCATAGACTACTTGAATATTTATAGCAGCAATATTACAATAGCCAAAAAGTGGAAACAATTCAAATGTTCATCAACTAGTAAATGGATAAACGTAATGAGGTATATCTATAATAGAGAATACTATTCATTAACAAAAAGTCATGAGCTACAGTGAGTGAAATGTGGTATATACATATAATGGAATATTATTCAGCCTTAAAAAGTAAAGAAATTCTGCAATATGCCACAACATAGATGAACCTTAAAGACATAATGCTAAATAAAATAACCCAGCCATAAAAAAGGCAAATAATGTGTGATTCCACTTAGATGTAGTATTTGGAGTAGTCAAAATCATAGAGACAGAAAGTAGAATGGTGGGTGTCGGAGTGGGGAAAGGGGGGAATAGGGAGTTACTGTTTAATTAATATAGAGTTTCGGGTTACACAATGAAGAGTTATTGAGATGGATAGTGGTAACTGTGGTATAACATAATGAATGTATTTAATACCACTAAACTGTATACTTAAAAATGGTTAACATGGCAAATTTTATGTTATATGTATTTTACCATGTTAAAAAAATTTCAGAGGGAAAAAAGTAATGAACTGCTATATACAACATGGATGAATCTAAAAAACACTATGCTTAATGAAAGACACAAAAAGCCAGACAAAAAAGATTATTTTTTGTATGATTTCATTTATATGAAGCACCAGGTGTACATAGTTTCACAGGGAAATTAATAGTAATGCAAACACAGTAAATAAAATATCAACAGACTAATGCACAATGACAAAGCCGGACTTATAACTAAAATGCCCACTATTATTTAACATTGTTTTGGAAGTAGTAACCAATGCAATTAAACAAAAGAAATCAACTAAAGTATAACAATTGGTTAAGAAAAAGTAGGACTATCTCTATTTGCAGGTGACATGATAGTATACCTGGAAATCTCTAGAAAATCAATGATAAAACTCAAACTATAAAAAATTCAGCAAGGCAGCAGGATATAAAATTAACATGCAAAAATCAATAGTATTCATATATACAAAACAATAACTAGTTAAAAAATATAATGGAAATGAAAATCTTTTTATAATGGCAACCAAAAATATAAATGCTGATAAATAAACTTAACAAGAAATGTTCAAAACCTATATGAAAAAAAAAAAAACCCAACTATATCTGAAAGCTATACAAGTAAACTTTAACAGAAAGATGTCTCTTGTTTTTTGGTTAGGTCGTCTTCACATCACCAAGCTGTCAGTTTTCACATTTAATGTTATCATAATAAAAGTATCCATGAGCTTTTTTAGGAGGTAGGCAATTTGATATAAAGTTCATATTGAAAAATAAACATGCAAGAAGAGCTAATAATGAAACGAGGAGGAGGATGTAACCCTATCAGATACAAAGACACTCAAGAAAATTTCTTTAACTAAAACCATGTGCTTCCTAACATTCCACGTGGGTGTTGTTGTTTCAAACAGTATGACCTATTGACTTATGGTGTCTCCTGCTTAAGAAGCATGACTGTATCTCTGTTACCAGAGCAAACAGCTATAGAATTTAATGACCTACCCATATGTAAAATTACTTCTACTTGTGAATAATTAGAATATAGGAAAAGGTTTGGAAATTTTTTTATTTGTGAAATTTAAAAACTAGAGTACCTTTCAACCTTCTGTAATGTTCAAGATTTTATAATAATGTTTCTAGTGTATTACTGTTGCACTGTTAGGGCCTGTGTTTTACCTGGGCAAGCCAGTAAAATATTTGATGGTGACACTCTTGTTTTACAATCACCCTTTGAAAATATGTTAGAAAATATAAAATTATTTATTTGTGATAAAGAATAAGTTCATGATTTGTTCTTGTACAAATAATGCTTAAGGCAGATGTTGAGTCTCACAGTGATGCTGGAAGCATATTTTACAGCCTAAAAACTATTTTTATATTAAATATTTGAACACATGAGGATAAATTCTAACGTTTAAAACAGAAACAAAGAAGCATTAGCCTCAGTTTGTACAAAATGTCTACTGCAATTGAACTCTTGATAGGTCAAACCTGAAAATCATTCCAATTTTGTCAAACTGCTGTTACTGGTTTTATCAATAAAGTTTAAGCAAATGGCTTTAAAAAATCATGTGGCACACATCAAGAAAATATAAAGTTCAGAAAAAGACCCAAATATATACAGAAATCTAGTATATGATTGGAAGTTATCTCAAATTACTGTGGTAAAGATGGCATTAAAAAATGATATAAAGGACAACCATTTGTAAAAATAAAACATTTAATCCACTGCTAACATAACACCATATGCATGAATATACTCCAAATGAATTGGAACTCTAAATGTAAAAATAAAACAATAGAAACACTAGAAGAAAGTATAAATAAATTCCTGTAATTTGGATTTTGCATATGCTAAAAATCCAATATAAGAAAAGATTAATAAATTTGACTATATAAAGTTGTTTTTAAATGGCAAGAAACAACTAAAACAACTATATAAAAAGTCGAAAGACAAATGACAAACTGGGAGAAAATGTTTGCAACATTAATTGCTTAGGAAAAATATTCAAGGTAGTATTGACTGAGTGCCTGCATTGCTGGATGGTTGAGATACATGTGGCAGTAAGACAGTCCTACCTGTCCTCACAGTTATACAGATACATTCTGACAGGGCCAAAACATACAAAACAAATAATTATATTATTTCCATTGTGACGGGCTATAGAGTAGAACTATGCAGTTGCATACCTGTGTAGAGACATATACAGATTTTAAGGTTAAGGAAATAAATAGTAAATAAAAACTAAAGAATTTTAAATAAATTATCTATCTATACACAGTGAAATGATAATTTCTTACCATTTTTTTCAGAGTTAGAAAACTGAGGTGCTCCAAATTCTTTTATTTGAAAATCTTTTTCCTTGTGATATTCAGTTGCTGAAACATGAAAGATAAGTTGAACAAGAAATTCAGCATGCTTATTTACTGTAATATTTTGTAATAATTTGACTGAAGTGTTCAATTGACCTAATCAGATTATAAAAGGGAGATGTAAAAATTTTAAGAACCATATACATCATATATTGCACGTGTGTGTATATACACATAAATACACAGACACATTACTTAGTATAGACACAGAGATAAAGAAAATCAAAGATGTTCATATCTTCAACTATTATCAGGGACATTTTAAAAAAAGATAAATGAAATGTAAATGTGTCCCACATACAATTGTAGATATCACTGCTGTATGGAGAGCTTAGAAATAATACATTTAAGGACATAGAAGTAACATCTCTGCTACTCTCAAAATTCAGTGCTCAGTTTGGGATACTACAAAAAGAAAGTGTAAAAGGTTAATTCAACCAAAGTAATCGAAAGGAAAACAAATTCAAGAGAAAGGTATAAGGAACTACTCAGGGTTATTTAGCTTTACGATAAGAAAGATAAAGAATAAATTAGGTTCTAAGTTCAAATATAGTTAGTATAAAGATGGTGAAAAAGTACAGAAGATAAAAAATGGACTTTATTGGTAAAAATTTTAGTTGAACATTGGAAAAACGTGGAGGGCAAAATCAGGGAATGAGGAAGAGATTCTAGAGGTGGCTAGAGAAAGAAGTGAGCAGAAGAACCAGGGTTTGAGGGCAGGGAAGGAACAGGTGGCAGAAAGATGGGCAGAGTCACACCACAGAAAGTTTTGGTATGCTAGAGAAATAGAGTTTGGGGAACAAAGAGACGTGTTAAAGGACCTTTAAGGAAGTGCTGCTGTATAAGATGTAGGATAACCTCTCTCTCTTTCTCAGAAATCTTTAATAATAATCTGCTTTACTCCATAGTGCATTTGGTATGAATTCATGTGGGGTTTGGTTTTATTTTACTTTAATGCTACAGACATGTGTGAGATTGGGATCAACACAGGAATAGGAGACAGAAAGGGCTAGCTCAAAAGACATAGTTTTATTCCATCATATGAAATACCACTTAAGTAAATATCGCAGAGAATAAATGCTTGAAGCCATTTCAAATTACTTCTTTGAGATAGTTCTAAAAGTTAAATTATTCAGTTAATGTCTGGGATGTTTATGTTTTTCAGAAAGGTTATCCCAGTTTCTGCTCTACAAGTAGTGATAGTGTTATCTTGGTTCCAAGGATAATGAATATTTTCAAAATGTTATTAATATGATCAATGAGAAATACTACTTAGAAATATAATAGATTAAATACTCAGAAGCACCCTTCCTTACAAAAAAAAATCCTTGTTAAAACTATAAAATATACTTTTAATGCAGTGCTGGACTTATTTGAAACAAACAATGAAAGCTGAAACCAGAGCTGGGAGAAGGGAGCAGCAAGCAAAGAGGAAAGCCAGATGTCCAGGAGACAAAGCCTTCAGCGAACACAAAGAAAAGAAGCTGAGCCCAGGATTCCTACATTAAGCTAATGACCCTGGAAGGAGGTTAAATTGTTCACCAGACTGGTGGTGTTCCTTTGATCTGGAAAGAAGCAAAATGAATTTTCACTAGAGAACAATCTTCCACGCCTCTATGATTGCCATAGATTAAAAGCAAACAAATATTAGGTCATAATCAGAAATCACAGAACAAGCAAGCTGATAAGCTACCAAGAAAATATTGGGAGAATCCAACTAATAATAGATAAAGATGCCCCCATCAAGGATTTCAAATACTTATATTTTTACATATAGACTGAGTCATAAGGTGAGAAAAAAACAAATGACTATAAAAGCTGACTAGGCAGATTTGTAAAAGAAACAAATAGAACTTTTAGAAATAGAGTAGTTATTGATGAGGAAAAAATAACTAATATAGATTAAATAGTAGATTAAATGCGAGAAAAGAAAATTAGTGAAGAACTTTACCTAGAACACAAGATTGAGGAAAAGGAAATGCAAAATATAAGAGTGGTTAAAAGATATGAAAGATGAATGAAAGGTCTAACATAAGCTTATTGGAGTTCTGGAACAAGAGAATAGAGAAAATGGAGGAGAGGCAATATTTTAAAAGACAATGGTTGAGGTATGCATATTTTATCACATCAGAAAAAAAAAAAAGAGTCTATGGCCATGCTACCCTGAACAAGCCCAATGCTGGCTGATCTCAGAAGCTAAGCAGGGTCAGGCCTGCTAGTACTTGGATGGGAGACCACCTAGGAAGACCAGGTGCTGTAGGCATAAAAAATAAAAAATAAGGGATTGTAAGCTGACAAGTTCCTTGCAGTCTGTGAGATCAACCAAGGGTTGCCTCGCCTAAAACAACAACAACAACAAAAGATAATGCTTGAGTATTTTCCAGGACTGGTAAAAAAAAAAAAAAAAAAGATACAGGAAACACAACTTATACTATAAAAAATGAGGGGAAAAACCCCCCACAAAGAACTCCATGTTTAGACACACTGTACTGAAACAGCAGAACATCAAAAACAAATAGCACATCTTAAAAGGTAGAAAAGGCAAACTCACTATAAAGGAATAAAAATTAGACTAACAGAAGATTTCTCAAAAGTGCACAGAAAGCAGAAAACAACAGAACAATATTTAAAAAGTACTAAAATACCAACCAATTTAAAATTGTTAATTGAGCAAAGATGTCTTTCAAAAATGAGAAATAATATTTCCAGACAAACATAAGCCAAGATTACCACAATGGCTTCTTTAATAACTTTTATACTAAAAGCTATAGTTAAGGAAAAAGAAAATGAGATCACAATGAAGATCTAAAGTAAAGGAAGAAATAGTAACAAAGGAAAAATATTGATAAATTAACATTTCTTCATACAATAATGTTCTAATTTTTGTTCTAACGTTCTAATGTGGGAGATTAGAAAAAGAGACAAATAAAATATTGGATAATAATAGTAAGGATGAGAGTGACTGGGATTAGTTTTCTAAAATCTTTGTAACATTTGGGGGATACTGAGATATTAATAAAATTAAGACTTTAGAATTTATTAAGTATGATAAAATTCAAGGAAAACCACCAAAAACAGAAAGAAAAAGTACAACTTCCAAACCAGGACATGAGAAAAAGACAAGACTATGAAATCTTTAAAAACAAATGAAAAAAATTCAATCCAAAATAAGGCAAAATAGGGCACAAAATATAGATCCAAATAAATCATGACAATAAATGCAAGTGGACTAAACTCACCAAATAAAGGAATGACATATTGCTATGTTGAGTTTAAAAAAAAAAAAATCCTGCTAAATCTACATATTTTTTAATACTTAAAAAATAAAAGGACATGGGGGAAGTTGAAAGTAAAAGGGTAGAAAAGGTATATCAAGCAAATATTAATAAAAAGAAAACTAGGTAAGCTAATCTAATATCACATAAAGGAGACTTTAAGCCAAGAAATATTATTAGGGACAGAAAGGGTCACTATTTAATGATAAAAGATTAATTCACTAGAAAGATACAAACATTTATAAAGTGAAAAGTCAGACACAAGATGATCACATATTGCATGATTCCATTATCTAAAATGTCAACAAAGGCATATTTATATAGAAAGAAAGTAGATTAGTGGTTGGCTAGGGGTGGCCATGAGGGATCTTACTGAAGGAACGAAATGTTCTGAAATTGATTTATGGAGATGGTTGCAACACTCAGTAGTAACTAAAAATCATTGATTTGTATACTTGAAGTAAGTTTTATGATATATAAAATATACCTCAATACAACTTTTAAAAAAAACTTGTGGGATGCAGGAAAAGAGAAATTTTGAGGGAAATTTTAGCCTTAAAGAATAACCACCAAAAAAAAAAAAGTACAGAAAGAAATAAAGAACTAAAATTAATAAAATAAACATTCAGTAGAGAGGATTAACAAAGCCAAAAGTTGGTTTGTTGAAAGAATAAATAAACTTTTAGAAAGATTAATCAAGAAAAAAAAAGGAGAAGGAACAAATAAATATCTAGAATTAGAAAAAGGACATAATTACTAATACAGCTGGTTCTAAAAGATAGAATAATACTATACATGGTTGGTGAAACTACAACAACGTTCATTATATTTCATCTGTGACTGTTAAAAAATGTTCTCTAATTGGGTACAGGATTATTATGTAAAGATAGCAAAACTTTTGAAAACATATGTGAAGCTACGTTAGATATACAAGTTCATGATTATTGTGGCTTCTTGTTTATCAGTATGATCTATATTTATGTATAAACCTAAAAGTGCCTTCCACATTTATTGGACACCTACTATGTGCTATGTAGTTTATAAATACTATCTCTAACCCTAGTGTCCCTCTGAAGTAGGAGTATATGACTCATATTTCGTAAATGAGAGGCATAAATGACTTGTTCTTAGGAGAAACTTTGCAGGCCAGGAGAGAATGGAATAATATGTTCAAAATATTGAAAGAAAAAAAAAAAACTGTCAACAAAGAATACTATATCCAGCAAAGCTGTTCATCAGAAATGAAGAAGAAATAATTTCCCAAACAAAAGCTCAGTCAGTTCTTCACCACTAGATCTGTCTTACAAGAAATGCCAAAAGGCATCTACAAGCTGAAATAAAAAGTACTAATTAACCTCAAAAAAATACATGAACACGTCCAATTCACTGGCAAAAATAAATATACAGTATTGTAATATTGTAATATTTTACACTACTCACAAAAATTATCACAAAAATTATCTCAAAATGGATTAAAGACTTAAATATAATATCTGAAACCATAAAACTTCTAGAATAAAAAATAGGAAAACTCCTTAATAATGGCCTTGGCAATTTTTTTTTTTTTTGATATGACACCAAAAGCATAAGAAACAAAAGCAGAAATAAACAAGTGGGACTACATCAAACTAAAAATCTTCTGTACAGGAAAAATAAATCAACAAAATGAAAAGGCAACCTATAATATGGGTAAAATATTTGTAAACCATATATTTGATAAGGGGTTCATATCCAAAAAACATAAGGAACTCATATAACTAAACAGCAAACAACAATAGCAAAACCCCAAATAATCTGATTTTGAAGTAGGCAAAAAACTTGAATGGGCATTTCCCCAAACAAATAAGATATACAAATGGCCAAGAAGTACATGAAAAGGTGCTCAACAACACTAATCTTCAGGGAAATACAAATCAAAACCTCAATGAGATATTACCTCACATCTGTTAGAATAACTATTATCAAAAAAGACAAGAGAATGAATGCTGGTGAGGATGTTGAGAAAGGGGTAATCTTGTGCACTGTTAATGGGAATGTAAATTGGTACAGTTATTATGGAAAATGGTATAGAGGTTCCTCAAAAGATTAAAAGTAGAACTACCATGTAATCCAGCACTTCCACTTCTCCGTATATGCCCAAAGAAAATGAAATCACTATCTCAAAGACGTATCTTCACCCAACGGTCATTATCTACAATAGCCAAGACATGGAAACAACCTAAGTATCTGTCACAGATGAATGGATAAAGAAAAAAAATATACAAACAACAATATTATTCAGCCATAAAAAGGGAAATTCTACCATTTGTGACAACATGGATGAACCTCAAGGGCATTATGCTAGGTGAAATAAGACAAAAACTGTATGATCTAAAAAAGCCAAACTCACAGAAACAGAAAGTAGACTGGGAGCTGCTAGGGTCTGGAGGATAGGGGAGATGGGAAGATTGGTCAAAGGGTACAAATGTCCAGCTATAACATGAGTAAGTTCTGGGGACGTAAGGTACAGCATGGTACTATAGTTAACACTGTATTGTGTATTTGTCAATTACTAAAAGAGTAAATCTTAAATGTTCTTACCCCCTAAATAAATATGGTAACTATGAGAGGCAATGGATGTGTTACCAAATCTTATTGTGATAATCATTTTGCAATATATGTATATTAAATCACATTGTACACCTTAAACTTACACAATGTTATATGTCAATTGTAATTCAATAAAGCTAAGAAAAAAAGCAAACTCAAAAGTGTTCAGAAGAGACTTATAAAGTGACTGAACGTGTTTTTTAATTGAATGGATATTAACAAAATCTCCTTTAAAATGCTGTGACAAATTGATATGACATTTAAAAAGTGATTATTTCACATTTTAATGCATTTGCCATCTTACCTGATTCACTTCTCAAGCTCACTTCCTCACCTGACAAAATTAACCTAAAGCAAAAACCAAAAATGCAAATATTTTGGTTAAAATACATTTGAGACTCATATTCCGCAAATAGTTTAATGTGGTTTAAAAAAAACTTTTTTTTAACTGGTTGTCTGGTAGATCTCCTAAAATCTGTCTGAGACAAATCTAACTTCTTCTATAGGGCTACATAGACTGTGAAAATAATCCTCTACTCTTTATTCATTCAGTGAACATTTACTGAATATTGACAAAGTAGCAGGCACTGTGTTCAGCTTTGTAGGCACTGTGATAGTAGTACTCTATCATAGAGAGTATCTGTCACCAAAGCCATTGAGTATCGAGTTTAGTTTTCAAGCATTGAAGAGTTTTGCTCAACAATACTTGGGAACTAAATAGATGGAATGAAGAGCTGCAGAAAAAAAATGGAGTACTGCGTTTTAAACAATGAAATGATGTTTGCAAAAGAAGACACATTTGCCTAAAATATTCTCAATTAATACTACTTTTGGATATTTATATCATCCATCTGGTGTCATAATAAAAAAATGAGACAAAGAAATTAAACACAAATTTAGTCATTATTCCTGGGATACAACCTCAAAATTCTAGTATTGAAGGTTGTTTTTAATAAGTCTTTAAATATATTTTATAAGCAATATGGTATTTATTTGCAAATACCACAAAAATAAGCCTACAGAGCAAACAGGTACTTATGACTCGGAATAAAATTTCCAGTGACAGTATACATATGTATATTTTAAACAATGGGAAAGAAAGAAAAGGTGGAATCTGTTAACTCAAAAGATAGCGCTCATAATGCTGAAGATACATGAGAAGATTTTGAATAAAACGTTCATAAAATGTGGTGAAAAAAATTACTAAATTAATGTATTTAATATATGATTTTAAATGTCAATGTAGAACTAAGTTAAGTTTAATTTATAACTATACAATTACTTAACCTACATTCTAAAATGTTTATATATTCAAGTTAGCCAAAAAAAAAATTGTTTGAATTTCCCCACAGAATGAAGGGGGAATATGCTTATATTTCGGATCCCCTTCCACTCAACAATATATGGTTTGTAACTGGCCTTATTGCTGGGTTTCTTATTACACTCAGTACAATGTGGTTAAAATGAGAAGTGGCAGCTCTGACAGGAAAACGAAGGTAAGATGTAACAAGAGGAAGACAGGCACCATGCTAGGGCACCTATCCCTTTCTTTTTCAAGCTGTCCCTTCTAGGATTCATTAGTAGAGACTCTTAATACAAAGTTCAGTCTCCCAAGCTACAGAGTTTGCAGTTATCACCCCAAGGTGTTTGTGCTCCTATCGCGGCCTTTGCCTGCCAGGTTAAAAACTGGGGGTAAAAATAAGACTTCAAAATGAATGTTAATGCTAACTGGAAAAATGACATAAGAACAAGTATTCAGTAAGCCAGAGAAGAAACAACTCTTTCCAAATATATCATACAAGGACCTCCATAACATAATATATAACTTTTGCCTGCTTACTTATTGAAGTCTTCAATGAGAGAATTATTTTCTCTCTGGTCTTTTTTGTGGTCTTCAGTAAGCTTGCTTGAAGTGTCTTGGAGGTTCTAAGAATAAGAATTTGATATTAAGTAAATGAAAAGAATCTGTTTCTCTCTTTGTGCAGACAAAATGAGAATAAAAATTCTAAACAACAATATAAAATAGGAATAGTTCTGAAGTAGAAAGTAAGAGATGTGGGAAAGGTATGATAATTCGAACTGAGCCCCAAGCCTTTGTTTATCCTGGCTGCTTGTGGCAGCCACCCACACTGTGACGTTGGCTAGCCACAGGGTTTACAACTTTGTGATAAGCCAAAGAAAACTATATTGTGCTGCTAGCTTGTACTGCAATGCTCTAAATACAGCTAAAGATTTTCATCTTCAATTCAGAGCAGAAATTGGATATTACATTTGGCTAAATACACAGTATGTCATCCAATGAAACATTAATATAAACTGCAATATATTATGTCAGAACATGACTTAAAAATCCATACCAAGTCCCTGGAATACACCGTTGCAAGATAAGAATCCATCACAGATACCATATATAACATGAACAAACCCACCAACAACATTTTCAAGCTGTACTGAAAATAAGGCAGAATGATAAGTTCCAAGGTACTGAAGACTAGCCTGCCAGAACTGAAGAAATGATTACCTCAGTGTGACTCTGCTGAATAAGCCATATGCAAAAAAGGTTGACAGGAAGATATACAAATGTTAAAAGTATTATAATTGTAACCGGAGAGTACCTCTTATCCATAGGTTTACAGAAAGAGTTGATCTAATGCAGTAGTTGCTTCAACTGCAATCACACACATATAATCACCAAAACTGGAATAACTGTATCATAAATCACACTTATGACATGAGTGTAAAAGTTAAGCAAATAATTTTTCTTTAACTTCTAAAATTGTCAGGTAGGTAATCTGGTCATTTTTGGAAAACATTACCTCTTTCCATCACTTGTTCCTCTTAAGTTTTCCTTCCCATAACCTTTTCTTATCTCTTTTGCATTTTAATTTTTTTTTTTTTTTTTTTTACTTTCTCCCTCTTTTATTACTGCCCCACTAATATATCTTGAGCCTATCAGTAGTATTCCCATTTATTTTTTTAGTGCTGCTGATAGCATTTGGAATCAAGGAAGTGGCTGGCTGAAGGAGTGCAGATTCTTGGTGGAAGGAATATAGAAAAATGTTTCCCGGTGTTTTATAAATTTAAAATGAGGCTTAGCAAAAAATAGTTTCAATGTTATTATCCAAACAAAGTGTAACATATCTAACAAAAGAACATTGAAAGAAATGTACCTTGAGAGCTACAAAATCGTAGGGATGAAAGCCAATACAGGCTCCGTGGATTTCAGACATCATTTGAGCTGTCTTCTCCCAGAATCCAAGCAGTGTTCTCTACAGAAAAAGAAAAGGTGACATTAAAGTTCTGCTTCTTTTCCATGATTTTTTCAGTGCTATTTTCCCTCGCTAGTGTAGTAGATAAATAATTGCCGAATAATAAGCAGCAGGAACTAAATTCAATTTCTAAGTTTGAGGAACCAGAACACTATAAATTGCAATTCTGCATAAGAACTGGCATCTGTATCTACATGTATGTGTTATCCGTATACAACACTGGCATGTACACTGGAGCCAGCTAGAGTATAACTGCAGCCAAGAGAATGAAACCGGTGGCTTAGAATACCCTCACTTAGGGTTCAAAAATGTATTCTCAAGCTAACTCAAGTAATGGGGCATTTTTCTTGCTGCTTTAAGGTTCCTGTTCAAAATGAGAGGGATGAGCAAGGAGAATAAAGAAGAACTGAACTAACAACTACTGTGTTTCAGGCATTATGCTACACAGATTATCATATACTTTTATTTTCAAGTGTATCCTTTCTTGATTCTTAAATTCCACAGTACTGAACTGAATTCGGTAGACTCCCCAGAAGCAGTCGTGAATATCTATTTCTTTTAGTTTATTATTCTTTTCTTATGTAAATGCAGTTTATTCTATTTCGCCATTTACAAATACATGTTAAAATCAGTAACTGCTACTTATTAATATTTAACTTGTTCATTATATGTATTTATGTGTGATTTGGGGTAATATAAAACAAATGAGACTTTTGAGGTTAAAGTGGTATGGGATGGCAACTTGGCAGAACACATGACCTAGAATTAGAAAATTTAGGTTTTTAAGTCCAACACTGCCATTTACTTTAATTCTTACAGATTTTAATTCTTATAGGTTTTCTTTCCTCATCCATAATATGACAGAAAAGTTTAAAACTTTTTGGGCCACAGCATCTTTGCTTCAAATTAAATTATATGCAGAAGTCCCAAGTGGAGTAGCTCTGGGTAAACCAGGGCTAATAAGCTCCTCGACAGTCTCCTTCGCAACCCTAGACAGACCCTAAGTCTCGCTGACATAGGACACCAAGGAGAATAATGTGAAGTTACTAGAGCAGACAATCCCTAAGGCCTTTTTCATTCTAGAATTCTATGATTACCTGGCTGTCATAACCTCAGTAAGTCAATTTTGGCAAATCAAAGAAATCTGATCATTATACAAATTTTTAAACCCTTTAGACAACTTTTAAAAAGGAATCTCACCACTCATCTTTACTGCAAGGACATGCTGACCATGGAGGTGGGTACCTGGTAGGTAGTGAGTGAATGAGATAACATATTGCAGCGACTAGCTCCAAGTAAATCCACTTTCTGACAAACATCCATCTTTAACTTGTCAAAAGAAGCTTTGCTATTTCTCACTTGGATCTGTACCTACAAACACAAATATGTTAATTATTATTGCTGATAATACAGATAAAAATATACTATACAGGTTCATGATACATATTTTCAGACACATGAAATTGTAATAAACACTAATGACTTTCCTCTGTATTATTATTTCATGATTAATGGTAAAGATTTTGGCTATTTTTAGTAATTATAGGAGATTCTTTCCACTAGATATCTTTATGCTAAGAAGGTATGCACTGATAGATGGAAAGTAAAGAGTTAAGAAAAAAACAAAGATTCCCAATAAAAGGAAACATCTGAAACTGATGGATAATATTTAGGTAAGAGTAAAAGAATAGAAAGAGGACCTAGTTTAAGTGTTCTGAAGCATTAAAATCTGAATGATGGAGATATATTTATAAATTTAAATATAGGCCTATTCTATTTCTTATACATAAGGTGAATTATATGTCACCAAGTAATGTGAATACTCAACTTTTAAATATACTCATTCATTCATTCAACAGATATTTATAAGGTATCTATTATGTGCCAGGCACTATGTTAGGCACTGAGATACTGTGAATAAAACAGCGTTCTTCCGCATCACCCGAGTGGGGAGAAACAGGAAAATGAGAAGTAAATAAATATGTAGGATAATCTCAAAAAAAGATAACAAAAGACAATATGTAAGATAATCTTAAAAAAAGATAACATCAGTGAACAGAAATGGGTGACTACTTTTGATAAGATAATCAGGGAAGTCCTCGGTGAGCTCATGCATGTTGCTTGAACTGGGACAGAAAGGCGAGGAGCTGGCCATGCTAATAAGACCCTGAGGAGAATATTCTAGGCCCAGGGAAAAGCAAGGACAAAAGTCTTGGGTGTGGGAGGTGGGTGAAGAGCTTACCATGTTTGTAGAACAGGAAAGAATGAGGTAGTACATATTCCTTCCTGGAGCCCAGAGAGGGCTGGAGCATAGAAAGTAAGTGCAAGATGTGGCTGCAGAGGAACCAAGGGTCAGATTGTGCAGCGCTATTTGGGTTCAGAGAAGAGAACTGAATTCTATACTTTCTTTTTTTAATTGAAGTGAAATTCACACAACATACTTTTAATCATTTTAAAATATACAATTAAGCAACAATTGTGCAACCATTCTCTTGGATTGTACTTTAATTGTCGAGGATTATAAAGGGGATAGAATAACAGGTTGCCGTGGCCTGAGGCCATGTGACAAACAACTTGCCAGATATGCTGGGAATAATCAGTGAGGCAAACCATTTACAACAGCTGGCATAGAATAAAGGCTCCATCAATATTAAGTATGATTTTTATTATAGGTACTTTAAATATTTATGAAATGAAGGAGTAAATGAATATTATTCATGTATGGTAAATTCAGGGGACACAATTTACAATAGGAGTTTATTTTGCAATAACATGTGTCCATACATAGATAGTTGCTTTAAAAGTTTGTGGTCAAACTATGTATTATGGCAGAATGAAAAATTTGATAACCTTCACTTTACTTATAGTTAATAATCATTTTACATGAATTTTTACTCTATTTATTCCTCACTAATAAACTCCTTCATGTAAACAAGTCTCAAAAGTCCAGTTAAACAAGATCTATTATGAGGGGTATAAAAATAATAATAAAAAAAGGTTGATGCGGTAAGGATGCCACTCAAAGAGTAAAAGAAAATTGTGACAACCTTTCGGACTTCACCCAAAGATCTCCAAGCAACCAAGAATTAATAATGTAACATTTTATCCAAAACTGTCTGATCTTGATTAAGTTATTCTGTAGAAGTTCAATAGGTTTATGTATCAAGAAAAGGAAAGGATGTATTTTCATACTTTTCTGAACTTTTCCATCTGTTTTAAGGTGTCGGGGTCCAGTTCTTGGGATACATCTTTCATCCATAGCAGAGCTCCTCTGTATTCTGTGCGTGCGTGCTCCATCCGATTAATTGTCATCAAGGTATCGGATACTGCCCTTTGACTAAATGTGGCTACTTCTTGCTTAAGACGAGACAGGGGAGTATACAGGGCCAATCTAATGGCACAGAGGTAAAAATCAGAGAGATGTACATCCCATAAGCAAAACAAAAACGAAGGTTTAAAATAATCATAAAGCATATTTTCTATTAAGATGAGTCTATAAATAGATTATTAAGTTGCCTAAGGAGCTTTAGAAAGCACATAAGGATGATACAGCCAACTTTGAATTGTTAATAAAGATGTGTCTGTAGTTTTCTTATTTTAGGAAATATGTCATTTTTGCAACAGTTTGGATGTTAATCCATGTATAAACAACCTGCCAAGTAAATGTGCCATTCAGAAAAGAGTTCCATGGGTAAGAGAGATCCTGTATTCATAAAGCATTATCCTATAAATAGAAAAACAAATTTAGGAAAAACCTGAATATAGAAAAGCAGATAAAAGTACTAGAAAAACTAATGAGGATCGAGTTCTTAGCGGCCGAGAATGAGGACAAGAAAACAAGGATTTAAGAAACACAAGTCAAACCCAGCTCCTCTGGTCTGCTTTTGACTTAATGACAGTGGAGGGTCTTGTACAGAGTGTCTCTTTGTCATTTAAAGATGGACTTTTGCACTGATGTAGTGTTTCAGAATAAAGCCACTTAAGTTATATATCATCATTACAAGTCTGATAAGGCCTCTTTTCATTTTCTTCTGAAAATGCAAACATTTTGGCTGTATTTCATAATTGTAGGAGTCTTTGAAGCAGGTATCTTTAAGCTAATAAAACTGTAAAATGATAAATGCAAAGTATATAATTAAGAAGAAAAAATTTCCGCTGCTTAAAAAGTTCCAATGTACTCATAGTCTAGTATCCAAAAAAGTGGAAAAATATTAACTATACATATTTAAATTTTAGTTATTCTATATCTTTGTTAAATTAAACTCCTTAAGCAATTTAAATATACGCTTCAAGGCTATTTCTTGGAATTAAGCAATTGAAATGTCAATTTTAAAATAACCATTTAAAATACAAATAAGAGGCATCAAAACAATTATATACTCAATATATTTCTCTTTTAATCCTCTACTGGAAGGTTTAGTCACCTTTTCAAATATGCAAATTTAGGTACATACAGCAAAATGTTCATACTGACTACAGAGTTAACGATGATGGAAAACCATGTTAACCTTTGCTTGGCTGAGGAACAGAGTGCCTTGCCAGTGGCGTCCATCATTCTGCCAGCTTGCGTTGTATCTCGTTCTGCTTGACACTTTAAAAAGAGGCCTAGTTCATCTTCTTCCTCTGATATAACTAGCAAAAAAATTACAGTATAGTTAATTATTTCATTTTATCATTTGCTTAAAATATACATACACGCAACTAAAATTCTCACAGAAATAATTCTCTACACATTAGAATTATTTGAGGGAAGAAGATGTTTTTAAAATGTAATTCCTGGGCTCCAGTTCCAGAAATTCAGATATTATAGGTCTGAGGAGCTACTTTTTTTTTTTTTTTTTTAACAAGTACTCCACATGGTTTTGATGCAGTGAATCCATAGAACTCGCTTTGGGAAAGGCTGATCTTTAGTGGAAGAAAAAATTCCAAAATGACAAAACAAAACCACAAATAATGCATTTTCAAATGTGCAGAAATGCATTTTAGGATTTGCTTCTTACAAAGTATTTGTTTCCTATTTAAATTTAACTTATTCTTGACTTCCATCCTGGCTTCGGTTTCCTATGCTCAGTATCGCAGACCCACAGATGTCCATAACTTTGCTACTGAAATCCTAAAAGTTCTCACACAGTGCCCTGCTCCTCAAAGTGTGGTACAATGACCAATGCTAGTCCAGAGTCACTTGTTACCAGCCTGTGGCAAGTACCAAATCTAAGAAACTGTTACCAATTTGACTATTTTATATCTGTTGAATCTAATAATAAAAAAATGCTTATATTTTTCAACCCCTTTCACTTCATTTCTCTAAAACTCCATTTTTTTATTGTTTTACCAAAGTGTCAGTTTAAAACAGATTGAAAGTAAAACACAAAACAAAAATGTGGTCCTTTACTACAAAGTTTTAAAAGCACTGCTGTAGTGTAAAACAACCCTCCCAATCAAAATAAGACTAATAACTGGGGAGCCCATAAAGTGTTCAGACTGTAAGCTTAACGTGAAAAAAATGACAAATGTCATGCCTAATTTCACTCAAGTTTACTGGCAAAGAAACTGAAGTTAAAAACTGAAAGGGAAGTCCCTCCGTACCTCTGAGGCAGCAACAGAACTCAGGCCTTCTCATCTGCTGGCTCCCCATTCCCACTGCTCCTCCCTGTCGGGCCTACAAGGGTGACCCTAGGAGAGCACGACGATGTTATGGGAGAGGGTGTCTACACATTCTGCAGTATCATCTTTAATAAAACCATAAGCTGTTTTGTGAACATTTAACCTGCTTCAGAGTGGATTAGATTTGGGGAGTCTTATTAATTTCATACTCTCTTTCCTGTGATTAAGTATACTTCAATGAACACTACTAGAAAAATATCCATTTGTAAATGATGATTCAGAAAGCTCTCTGAACTTGGATTATTTTATTGTCAAGTATCAACTGAACATGAATTATCACTGAACCTGATCCTTATCAGTACAGAAAGGGTAGGAGATGGAACTGGATCTGTGCTGATTTCTGTGTTAGAACCTGCTACCAAAAACTGCAGAGACCCTACTCCTACGTGTTCTTCCTCAGTTAAGTGATTCCCATAAATATTAACAGTGCTGGACTAACCAATTTTAGTTGTCTGATGTTAGTCTCAACAGAAGATGTATTTATGGTCTTCAAAAAAATCACATAATTATATATAATCTTGAAGAGAAAGTACACAATGATATATATTCTCATCCTGAAATGCTCCACAGGTATGCTAAAAGATCTTATGATTTCAGGACGAAATGCAGGACACATAAACTTGTTTATGTTTCTTAACATTTCCATTTCTATCACAGGACTCCCTTGGTCCAATGATCGTGATGACTTTTACTGCTTAGTAAAATATTTAAGGTTCTTAGCAATCTGACCCATCTTCCTTTGCTCTTTTATCCCAATTATAAACTCTTCAGCCTATGCAGGCTGTTCTTACCCTAATTTATTCACCTGACTCCAAATTTCATGTTTTATCTAGTTATTCAACTTCTATAAACCCTTTAAGTTTTACTTTACTTCCCATCAATGGAGTTGCTTTGATTAATTACTCTAATCCACAGTTACTTCTCACTCTGAGAGAATTCAGAATTATGCCTGTATCACTATTCAGCATGCAATTACATACTATTTGGTATTTCTTATTTTGTTATAAAAAGTTGTTTCTCCAACTATTTCCTTGGGAAAAGCACACAGTCTTACATATGGCAGGCCCTCAAAAATTATCATGCTATACTGGATTTTTTTTTGCTTTAATGGCACAATATATGAGCTTTGATTATAATGTTTTGATATTAATTTACATAGCTACACAAGAAAATCATTCATTAAGTAAAAATCATTTGAGTACAAACTACATGCTAGACATTGTTTCTAGGTTTTGAGGACATAGAAATAAACAAAAGAGACAAATTTCTGTCCTTTAGTATTCTAGTGGTGGTAAGAAAAACATAGATAAAATATATATAACGTTGAATTTTGTTAAGTAGACAGAGAGTTATGAGAAAGAGGGGTATTTCATTTTAGATACAGGGTCAGGGAAAGCCTCACTGAAAAGACGACATTTGACCAAATACCTAAAGGAAGTTAGGGAGCCTACTATGCAGACAGGCCTACTGTGAAGGAAATCAGTATAGCTGAAGGGAGAGAGTTTTAGGAAATGAGGTAAGAGAAGTCGCCAAGATCAGAGAGGTGGCCACGTTCAGTAGGCCACTGTAATTAAAAAGAAGAGATCCAAAGATTTAGTTCCAACCTGAAGAGGTCGAGGAGAAAGAAGAATCCAACAAACGAAGGATACTGAGAAGAAATGAGCATTAGGAAGAAAGCCAGGGAAGTGTGAAGCCTGGAAGCCAAGTGAAAAGAGTGTATCAAGAACAAGGGAATAATCAACTGTGTTAAATAATGGGATAAGTAAAACAAGAAAAGGACTAAGATTTGGTGATTGAGTTTAGCTCTTTGTGATTATGATATGAGCAATTTGGTAGAATGGTGGAAATGAAAAATTGACTGGAGTGAGTATAAGAGAAAGTGGAAAGAAAGAAATGGAAACTGAACATGCAGACAATTATGTCAAAATTTTCTGTGAAAGGAACAGAGAAATGGGATGGTAACTGTAAGGGCAAGTAGGGGTCAGGAGAGAGTTGTCCCCGCCCCTCACCCCACTCCCCCCATGCCTACAGCACCTGGTTTTCCTAGGTGGTCTCCCATCCAAGTACTAACCAGGCTCAACCCTGCTTAGCTTCCGAGATCAGATGAGATCAGATGTGTTCAGGGTGGCCACAGACTGGAGGAGAGAGTTTTTAAGTGATGGCAAATCCACTTAAAATGCTGGGCAGGAAAACTGAACCCAATAAAATGAATCTGTCAGAGGACTGGATGAACTGAGGATACTGGGGCTTAGAGAACAGGTCACTGTAAATATTCATATTTTGTCATAAGATATTATTCACAAAACAGTTCAATAAACTATTTTTACATTAAAGATTTCATTTTAAAAAATACAAATGAATATTTACATTAAATAGGAATTAAGGGGTATTTATCTATGATTTCATACCATTGAGTCTTAGCTGATATTTCTCAACTATCTTCAGGAGTTCTGAGCATGTCTCTTGAATGGAGTGAAAAACCTTTGAAATATAAATTTTATTAGGACAATTCACAGAACCATAAACAGATAAAATAAAGTATAAAATATCTGTTATAAGCACTTCAAAAGCAGAACATTTTCTTGTAAGTATTATATCTATTTTCCTGTACTGTGATGACTTCAGTTTTGGCTTTACTTCTGATGTAGAAAGCAAATTTAGATTACCCCTATGAGCTGGAAAAAACAGTGATAAATACGTGGGAGTTAATAAAAATTTATAACTGTGGAGTCTGTCCTTTCCTCAGCTCCAAACTATCTAAATAGCAAAAATGTAAATCCAACACAAACTGCATCAAACATTGTCAACCACAGATGAAAAGAATATAGATAACCTTAGAAAATATTAACTCTGAATCTGGCTTTTCTCCAATATTGGTCTAAGCAAAACAGGTTAGTAAATTTACCATAAAAACTAAACAATGTATTACAACATCAAAAATAAATTACTTGTGGATTATTTGTTTAGAATTTTCCATGAATATGAATCCCTTTATTACTACTATTGCTAACAGGTAACAGAAAAATAAAATATCCACTAGATTACTATTTCAAAGTAAACACATAAAAATTTGAGATTAGGACATAATATACACATGAGGTAACTCTTCACAAGTCTATAAATTTAGGTTTTCCCAGAGAAAAGAGCTGGCACAGGCTTAAGGTTGCAGCCTTCTTACAGAGCCCTATGCTAAAGAATTGTTATGAGACTTTAGTTCAAAGAGATCTTGGCATTGTGATATATTAGGCCCTAACTTTGATTATTAAACAAATTTCCAATATCACCGTTAAGCCTCATTATTCTATCTCTGAAGCAGGTTTGCTATTATATTTTTTGGTATTTGATCAGACCTAAGGAAGATTTGATAATAGACACTACAATCTAAATGGAGAAGAAACCATTAATTTTCTATGTAAATTTAGGTATGTTTAAATTGAATTTGGTATGCTTGAATTGGATTTGACAATTTAAAAAGCTGTTTTAAATCAATATGGAAAAAGACCAGAAAAGAATACAAAAACAATAGTTGTATTATGATGAAGTGATTATGGTTGATTTTTTTCCCCATGGGTCCTTGAAAGATTTATATACTATTGCTTTGTATTTTTACAATGAAATTCTTTTTTCAGTTTTAGTGAGATATAATTTGACGAATAAAATTTTAATACATTTAAAGTGTACAACATAATGATTTGATATATGTACACACAATGTGAAAATATTTCTAATTCTTAAAAAAAGTAGTACAAATATGGGAGAAAGTTCTTTGTTGATTCCAAATATTTGTCTAACAGACAAGAATAACACTGAATATAAAATATGTCACCCACAGATTATCTAAAGATGTAAAACAATACAAAATAATATACTTCTGTGGGAATAC